AGGTGTGAACGTTGATCGGTGTGAACGTTTATTGTTTGTTATATTGTGAGATTGTAAAGTTTTTGGTGAGCTAGAAAACCGAGTGTGAGGTGTGAACGTTGATCGGTGAGCGTTGAAAATCGACATTGTGAGTGTAAGTGTTATGTTGATCGGTGAGCGTTGAAAACCGACATTGTGAGGTGTAAACGTTATTCGGGATGAACGTAGAAAACCCGGTTATGATAGTGGATTTCTCCCCGGGAGTGGGGAGCGGAGACGTAGGACAGAAGGTTCGAACTCCGTGATCATTTGAGTGTGTTTGAGTTTGTCATTGGCGCATTTGCTTATGTATTTATCTTATATCGCTATTGCCTATTACTCTTGTATATTTTGCCCTATCACTTTTATAGTTTGATTATATCACCCTTGTGTTAGTTTATATATCCTTGCATATATTTTTATCATATAGAATATATCTCATTGTTCATATTACTTATCCTAGCTCACATATCATATTATATTTCATACTTGCTAGGATAACTTGTTAATAAGTTTTAATTGATATAAAATCGGATTAAATTAGCATAAGACCCTAATCACCCCCCTCTAGGGTCTAACACTTGGCTCATTACCTGAAAGGGGAGGGACAACGAGCGTCAAAGCGCTAGCGAGCAATATCACAACCAACCCCAAAGGATAGGGCTTGTTGTATACAAAAAATATAGTTAATACATATATATATATACATAAAATCACTGATCCTATTTAGGAAATTACAACACGAGTATAGGTACGTTAAGCAAAATAATCCAAACAAAAAAACCCTCATGTATATAACTTGTAGCTCAATTTGTAAATCCCTAACAATAAAAGGATTTTAGTATTTAGGAGATTACAACACGAGCATAGGTATGTCGAGCGAAATAATCTAAACAGGAAACCCTCATGTATATACCTTGTATCTCAAATTGTAAATCCCTAAACACCAAACTCAAAATCTAATACAGGAACAATAATAAAAAGAAGACAACCCATCTCAGGACTTAAAATACTATGTCATGTCACAACTCACATAAGTGTCATGTCCAGCCTATGCAAGTATAAGTGTCATACTCAAGGTCTAAACTAGTGTCTAACACATGGACTAAAACTAGATGTAGTGGATGTCCAACACATGGACTGCATATGTAAATTATCCAACACATGGACTGAGAAATGAATGTCCAACACATGGACTGAATGTGATAAATGTCCAACACATGGACTACACATAATAATTGTCCAACATATGGACCAAATGAAATATATGATAAGATGCATATACACTACTTTCATACGTGCCTCGGTGTGCTAACCTAGACTCGTGTCCACAAGTCATCTCACATGTAGAGATTCAAAATAAACATAAATTTCTAATATTAGATATTCGAGGCGACTCCTCGTTCATATAGAAGTACGCAAAAACAATAAACATGCCCAAATAGTTTCGGTTAAAACGAAGCAATCCAAACAGATCCAAATCTAGGAAAACTAGAAATTTCCTCGTCAGTCGACTCATGAGTCGACTGGAATCATCGGTCGACTCATTGGTCGACCTAACAAACAGGAAAGAAGAAAGCTAAAAATTTCCCGTCTGTCGACTCATTGGTCGACTCATCAGTTGACTCATAAGCCGACTGATAAATCGACTGATAGGTCGACTGAGCCACTAGATTTTCAGTTTTCGTGCACATGATGTTTATTTGTAAAATCATTATATCCTAGGCATAATATTATATGTTCTAACAAATTTGAATCAGTTGAAAACAACAGTTTAATATGTAAAATCATCACCAAAAATCTAAAACATGTATACTCATGGTTTAAACATTTTAAAGACAATAAATCGGAACTTTAATCTCTTATTAAAGTAGTTTCAGATCTAGATCTCTGTATTAAGAATCGTTGGTGAGCTTTTTATAAATTAAAAATTTGATTTCTCGCATTATATACTATAAAGATCTACTTTTATACACAAAATAATAATTTAGGCTCAATAAATCCAAAATAAAACTTAATAAAATCATACAAACAGTGGGTATAGGGCTGGGCGAGATGTTACTCGCCTCTGGTATGCTGCAAAACTCTTGAACCCTCGAGGAAACGATCCTCCTTTGACAGAACCACAAAATCCAGCTGCAAATCCTTCGAAAATTCCCCAAAAATCTCCAACAACGAAGTTAGGGTTTGAGGGGAGAGAGAGGGGCTAGGGTTTCTCTGAGATCTGAAGAAGGTGAGGGGTGTTCTCGGGTAGGAGAGTTTATATATGAGCGGTCAAACCCGAAATAAAACCGAACAGACCCGCAAACTAAAAGAAAAACCCGAAATTAGCCCGTCAGTAGACTCATAGGTCGACTCATAAGTCGACTGAGCAGACATTTTTCAGATTCGTGCATGTTTTGCTTATTTGCAAAAATCAATGCACAAAACTCTATATATATACACTCTTACATCTCTAATAACTTGTTATCAAGTATATCCATGACCTCAATGGGATTTGGTTAGGGTTTTCTTTTTTTTATTTCCTTAGGCAACCTAGACAAAAATTTTCCATCTAGGTTGCTTCATCCTACACGGAATTCCGTCTAGGATGAGAATAATTTTTTTTAAATAACCATCTTGTTTGTCAATTTAGACGGAAAATTCTGTGTAGATTGATCCAAACTAGATGAAATTTTTTTTCTTCTAGTTTGCCTCAAACTAGAAGGAAAAAATTCCGTCTACTTTGTTCAGTCTACTTTGTCCATTTTTTTACTAATGTTTTTTGAACCATCCATGCCTATTTTTATTCTAGCCTAGTTTAAGATAAAAATGGGTCAGGACTAGTCCTAACCCAATTTTTCGTTGGTTACCGAACATAGCCTAAATTTGCCAAACAAGTCCTTGTGTCTCTCAAAACTACAATAGAACCTAAAGCTATAAGAGTCATAAAGAGGGTCGAAAAGCTAATTTCGTGTGTGTTATACTGTTATGCCATAAGTTATTCGAGATCAAGTTTCTAACGAGCATCTATAAACAAGCGAATCAAAAGATACGGTAACTTACATTGGATTCTTTTAACATGAGATTACTAAGAAAAATATTTAATTTATTTTAAATGGTCTTAATAACGAATAAGTACCTAATCATTTGATAATTATTCCATGAACTTTCCACTCTTCTCTCACAAGACCTCTCCACGATCTTGTCATTCGTGGCCGTTTGGTGTACCGAGCATTACAGCTGCTCCATGACCAAAAAACCAGCTACGTAAAACCACTGCTACGTGCCGAGGTAATCCACGTTCTTATATCGTAAGCAAGAGAGGGGCCCGTTTGACTCACAGAATAAGATGACGTGCACCAGCGCACCCCACGTCAGCGGCCTTCTTGTATCTTTGTCCGGGTCTAGGTTTCTTTTTGTCCTTATCGTGGTCCACCGCGTCGGGACAGAAGTATGACGTTATGCCAAGTGTGGCTGTGGGGCCCACCCCCAGGGTGGCAGAAGTGACAATTGGCTTTGTCTCCTACGCGAGGAGTGAGTTAATAAGTGTAGGTGCGTTATTAAGAGTTTTTAATTAAATTTTTTATATCTCTCGTTTCAGAACCCAGAAGTCAGAAGAAGAGAGGTTATTAATTAAGATATACCTTGTTTGCGTAAGAGGTACAGTACGTTACGGCCGTGGGTAGTAAGGTTTTGAATTCTACTTAACGCTAACCTGACCGGAGATTTGTGAGTTTCTGTCCTTAATGGCCAAGGGAGAGAAAATATTAGGGGGGGAAACGGAAAACCACCAATACGAATCCTTTCTGTATATGTTATTATTTCGACAGGAAAGCGCGACCATTTCGTCAATTATTACAACTATTCGAATCTTGTTTATAATTGCGCATTAAGTGGTAACTGTACTTTTTCCCGTTCCTTGGATTTATGCCTAGAGAATTCATTACCGTCTTGTATTGGTTATTGGGTCTATATCGTTAAGCTGGCTTAAGATTATCTTGTCATTTTCTTTTCTCGCATGTGTATGACTGTGCGTTCGTATCTATCTTCCCGTTTGTAGAGACTCTCCACGTGTTGTTGTCGAGGAGATTCCAAAATGATATGCAAGAACATACTCAAGCTTATTTTCAATATGATTTTAATGTGCGATGCGCCAAGGCAAATTGAACGAGGAGACTTAAGAGGTCTTTTTGCCTTCCTAATCTAGGACTTGATCCTGGTTCTATTTTATGAAAAGAACATTGTTTTGTAAAGCCCGACCAGTATTGGTCTTTTCTTTCCCCTCAGGGTCAAAGATGTTGGAATTAATATAAAACTACGCGCATTCTTCAACCTTCACCAGCTATAACTTCGGAGTTTTAATATAATGGTTATAGAAAGACTTAATTTAAGATGGTATTAGAGCAACCCATGTTCAAATCCCACCGGTTAGTTTGTCTGAAAACTATGCTAGGATATCAATCCGCACTTAGTTTTGAGGAGCTTTTGCAAAATCAACCCTTGTTGCTGTCTATGTAGGCGACAAGAGTTCTTCTCTCTAAATTAATCTACTTGCTTCCTTTATGAAGTGAAGAACTTGCATCAGTATCTCAGTTTCAACATGGGTTTTCGGATTGTCTAGTATTCCACCAATTAATAACCCAAGGTTCCAGACTTTTTGAAAGGAGAGAGAGACCGATCAGGGCAAAAATACTATAGATGCAAGATATGGGACCCCAATCTCAAAAACTTTTTTGTACCTTCATGATAGTCTCGCGAGGCCTTTTCTCAAAAGAAAAGAAAAGAAAAGAAAAGGAGGAGGGGGAAAAAGGAGTGACAACAGAAATAGTGGCATAATATGAAAACAGTGTGAATTATTTAAAAGAGCTTCACAGGTTAATTAATTTTGCTTAGGCCGTTGCTACAAAGAGCCCATAAAACGTGTACACAAAAACAATTGCAGGACTGCTAGTTTATTACGGCCCATTTCTAGTCATCCGCCGATGATGGAGTCAACTTGAGTACCTTTCCTTGGTATTTAAATGCTCACATCTCTCTCGTTCCCTCTCTATTTTCAAAACCCTAACAACTATTCCATTACTCTCTCAAAAAAACCTCCAATTTCCCCCTCAATTAATAAATATATGGATCTCGAATCCGAAGCCGGAGACAAAATCCCAATAGAATCCAACTCCAAAACCCTAATCGGAAGGGAATTAGGGTTAGGGTTTGGCTCCTCGGCCACCGACCAAACCATCTCACGCCGCCACCTCTCCCTCCGCCCAATCGACGAACAACGGGTCGGATTCGAGGTTATGGGCAAGAATCCGATATGTATTTGTGAAGGAATCGATGGAGAGCGAAGAGTTTACAAGAATTCGGAGAAGGGTGAGCTTAGAATTGGGGATAGGGTTTCTCTGTCGCTGAAAAAGCCATGCTTTTGGGTTTTGAAGAGAAGGGAAAGGGAGAATGAGGAGGAGGAGGATGAAGAGAAGAGGAGGGTTTTGGATGCTGTGGAGCGAAGGGAGAAGAGGACTTGCGAGAGGAGAAGAGATAAGGAGGAGAAAATGAAGGCGGTGGTTGTTGATGGAGGAGATGATGAGGAGATTGGGTATGTGGATGTATCCGGGATTGATCCTGTTAAAGGTAATAAGCTCTTATTTTTGTTTGCATGTGTGTTTTATGGTTCGTTTTGGCAAACTCCAAAGTTGTGATGAGAGTTGAGCATTAGATTCTACGGACCGAAACTTGGACGAAAAGGTGCTTCTTTTATATTCACCCTAAATGTCAGGTGGGATTTGAAAATGTATTTTTCAGATGTCATTTTGAGGTGTCTCACCTCTCCATTGTTCTTTTGATTACCTCTCACCATGGCAAGTGTCCTTGAACCTGCAAACAGTGGAAATCCAGAAGAAAGAAAATCTTTTTGGAATATTTGTGAATTTTTTGACTTATTTTTCACTTTGTAGCTGAGCTTGAAAATAGACTCTAGACATTTTAGTTGGTTATAGTGTGTCAGTCGTGGGCACTGCTTATGTTATAACCAACTGTCCAAATGTGAACCTCATTAGTACAGTGAGCCCCTGGCAGGATAAAGTTTACAAATAAACCCTGCCAAGCTCAAAACTGCAGTACCAACTGAATGCAATTCAACCACTATGAAAGTTCTAACTCACCGAAAGAGAACACCCACTGAGCACACGAATAGCAGCCACTTCCATAACAAACCATTATTTCAAACTTTGTAAATGCTGCAGTCATCACTGTTGAGTCCAAACCTTTTCATATATCCAGACTACTGAGACATATCTTGCCTCGGGACCTTCCCTCAAGGTTAAATGCAGGGCATTTCTTGATTACTTCCCAATATTATTTCGGAAGAATTTTAAGATAACTTCTGTAGAAAATAGAGCTTCATTTACAGCTTGTACAGGCTTGGTACCTAAGTGAGGAAAGTAGGTGTATCTTACGGAAACTCAGGGGGGTCATGTTTGTCGATACTGTCAAAGGTATTGAATCAGAACTCAGCTAAGCTTAACCACTTCACTCGTTTCCTGGGTTTATCGCAACAAAAAAGCTTCTCAAATAACCCTCAAAACTGTTATAAGCAATCTTGGTCTGTCCATCTATTTGTGGGTGATTGGCAATAGTGAGTTTCAATTGACTATCTTCAAACTAAACATCTCCTACCAAAACTTGCCGGTAAAAATGGGATCCCTATCACTTACTATGACAGGTAGTCATGATGCTCATACCATAGCCTCTTCAAGTGTTGCAAGGCTGATTAGTATTCTTTGAAGTAATATAATCCGAAATCCTTATTGCACTGACCACCTCTATTATAATGATATTTCTATTTCATGATATTTCTATATCATGATAATAAGGATTGGTCTCCACTAATTTCTTAATGTCAGATATCTGGTCACTGCACAAGTATGATATGACCAACAATCCAACTGACCATCCTTCTTCTCTTTTGATTTTTCATTTCTTCTTGACAGTCCATGATCCACCTTATTCAACTTTACAGGCTTGTATTTAACCCTATTAATAAAACAATGAAGTTTGGCTAACCATTTGCTTTATACTCCAGTATGCATTATCTGATCTAACAAGTGCTTGAGGGTATGCTGATCAGTTCAGATGACAATCTCTGCTGATGAGAAACTGATGTCACTTTCTGGTGGACACGAATGATGACCATTAACTTTTTTTCATGAGTTGATAGGTTCAAGTTCCACCGTTTCAATGCATACTTCAGAATATGGTTGGCCGCTGATTCTGAATCAACAGAACACCAATTCTTATAGCAAAGGCATTAAATTTAATAATTAACTCTTGACTGCAGTCTAGCATGGCCAATACAGGTGGATTAGTAAGAGTTCCTTTAAGAGTTTGAAAGGCATTTTAGCTTTGTCAGACCAAGCAAAACCTTCCTGAAGTGAATTAGTCAACATGATTAAATAGAATCAAAGCCTTTGATGAACTTTCTGTAGTGCCCTGTCAATCCCAAAAATAATGTCAAAGCTTTTAAACAAAGTGGTAGGATAGACCATTTATTAGCTTCAATTTCTTTGGACGAAACAACTACCCAATTGGTTGAGACAATGTGACCAAGATAGTTATTTGAGACTGCCCAAAGCTGCATTTTGAACCTTTAGCCACTAACCGGTTCTGCATTATAACCTGAAAACATGATAAGATGAGGTATAAATTATTGTGATTAATTTGTATTCTCCTTCGGTGAGATTCTTGTTAGTGTCATGCAATAGAAATTTCACAAATATTTATTATTTTCATGCATCTTGTATATCTCAAAAAATTTATGGTCAGGAGTGCGCCTCGCTTCGCTCGGGCGCGCGCATCACATTGCGCCTTGCGCATGTACGCGTAAACTGACTTTGCGCCCCGCATTGCGCCTCGCGCATTGAAAACACTGGGTGAGAACTTTCACAGCAGTTGAGTTGCAGACTTGCAGTCAGCTGATATGCAGTTTTGAGCTTGGTACGTTTTCATTTTGTAAATTCTGTTTTTGCTAGTGAGTTCTCTAAAACAACACTCGTGGGTCAATGGATTTTACACGTAGACAGTTAGCTTTAACCATCATGGGGCCCACCATGGATGCGTCATAACCAAATGAAATGTCCTTAATTAGTCTGTTGTGCTTGTTCTCGAGCTCAGATGAAAAGTGAGAATGTAATCCCAAAATTCATTAAGGTTCCCAACTCTTTTCTTTCTTCTTCTATTCCGTATTTTGCAAGTTCAAGCAAGTCACAATCTCAGATGAAAAGTGAGAAATGAAAACCCCAAAAATCACTGCGGTTCCAAATTTTCTTCTCCCTTGATTCCATCTTTTGCAAGTTCAACCATGTCACAAGCGAAGCCCAACTGAGTGGTGAGAACCTCTCACATTTTAAGCTTCATTCTACGATACCAAAACTTTCTAGGTTGTGATGAGAGTTAAGAGCATAATTTTACAGTTTGATGTTACCAAATTTTTGTGTTGAAAGTCTATGGTTTTCTGAATTTTAATGCTTGTAGAAGTGTTTCTTGAATGAGAAAAGTCGAATACTTTCTCTCATTTTCGGACATTCTGAACGTTGCATGTAACCATGAGAGATGCGTTATTTCTGCTTGATTCTTTTCTGAATCTTTAATGTTCTTTAAGCTTTTTTTGTGTGTAGTATGTGCTATTCTAAGGAGAAACAATCCCTTTATCCTTTTAACTAATTCGGTGATTGGATTTCTGTGCTTTGCAGAGTTCGGATTCTTAGTGAAAGGTCATGAGTTTGATCAGTATCCTAAGAAAAGGATTCTTGCTGTCAAGAACTGGAATTGGTTTCTCGATGAGCCAAACAATGACAATGATGATGATGAAACCATTGATGAAGCAACCAGTTCCAAAGCAAAGAAGAGTAGAGTAAGAACGAAGAAAGGGGGTTCCAATGATGATGATGATCAGGAGTGGGCTGGAGAAAGTGAGGAAGAAAACGTAGTAGTGGCGAAAAGAGGCAGTGCTAAGCGCCCTAAGTACTCCACTAGATCGAAGGACCCCAAGAGGCCACGAAATGATGTTTCGAAAAAAGATGCCAAGATTCATAAAGATGAAATTGAAGAAGAGGACGAAGAAGATGAGACTCTTGGAGGCTTTATTATTGATGATGAGGGGGAGGAGGAAGAAGTAGAGGATGAAGAATCAGAGGAAGAATTTGATGATGAAGAGGAAGAGGAAGAATAGTAAGAATGAAGACTAACTAGAGGAAGGGAGACACGACTCACTCTCACGTAACATTACGTATCATGTTTGTATTTGTTACCTTGTACATAGTGCTAATGTAGAAAAGTCTTTTGTTCTCTTATCATCCTGTTTCAGTTTCAGTTAAATTTGAGTTAATTGCGTTTTTCTTTTTTCTTTCTTTTTTAGTTGAGAGTTAGAATAGCACTAAGACATGATTTTTCAACATCTTATTAATGTGCCAAGTGAAGTCATTAATGTGCCAAGTAAAGTAGAAAATATGTAGACTTACTATATACTAACACAATAACCATGATTGCCACTTGGCAGCTTCCTAGCACCCCATGACCATTAAACTTCCGTTTATTTAATTATTAACTGATGAATAATATCCTCTTGCATACTTTAGAACCTATCATACATGAATTTCATTCTTTCGTTTCTGTCTATACCTAAATCATCTATTAGATGATTTATCTTGCAAATAGTTATATATTGACATTTATATGCAACAATATTATTATATAATATTACCAGAATATATATGTAATAATAATATGGCTGTAAGTCCCCTGCGCTGCAAAGGTGGCAACTGTAATATCTGATAAAACATCCTGTACCCACATAAGCACCTCACATCTACAAGAAAATATAGAAAATGGAAAGCGAAATTCCACTAGATTAATAATCATATTTAAGTCATAATGGGATAAGTATTAATGGAAAGTACTGTGGTTTTCTTCTCAGCTTATAGTAGCCAACATCAATTACTACTGGAAACATGGGTTTTTGAACTCCAGGAAAATAAGGTGAAATTCAGGCGTAAAATTGAGAGGAATCTTGCACAAGATGCATGATGGATTGAGCCCAGAAGAAGGCTTGCTCGTTTTCGCAGAACGGCCAGTTTTGATCAGATTTTTCTTCTCATGATGCAAGGTGAAGGTTAAGTTCATATCTCTTGAAGGTTAAGACTGGGGCTATGTATTTATACCTTAACAATTCAAGGTAGAATTTGGTTATAATATACACCTAAAATTCAATTCAATGGTTCTTAGGAGTGAGACAACTGAGTACGGATTTCGGTAAGGAACTAAGGAAGGATTGAGGTTTCTTCTCTAGAAATTGAAGACTGTTCGAGATTTTTCACCATTGAGGTCTTACATCAACTGTCTAGATGAACCATAAGGTACTCACGTTCTCTTATATTGTTACTGTGGTATTGTATATGTGTATCTTACTCATCCTATATGGGTTAAATTAGCACCTGCTATTTTCGAAGTAAATAATGACACCTCGGGGTGATCATAATAAGCTTGTATCATTCAAATGAAAAGTTGGCATCCTCCATAGAAGAATGCTGCTTGATTAACCGAATACATGATGAATGCATGAAAGGTGTTCATTATCGGAAAGTCTATTTGAAGGGTGTTCTCCCAATTGCGTAGACAACAGATTATTACTCAGATAAGGCATGTTAGAAAACAAAACTGCCATATTTTGCATAGACAATACATAAAACAACAAAAAATTAACAAAATATCAACCTTATGTTTCCTCCGTTTTTGCTGGCTATTCTAAAGTTTAGAAATGTATCAGTGTATTTGTAACTGATGCCTGCTGGTTTCCTACAGTTAAAAGTTAGGAACTCCTGTAATGATGTTGTTTATAGATTTGCTGGTTTGACTCCAAGCTCCAGATGTGGTGGGAATACGAAAAGTTCATACAGAGAGCTAGGAGAAATTGATATTTGTTTCTGTATCAATTCCAAAAAAGATTGATGATTACTAATTTCTGTATTATTTATGTTTACTTAATATTATGTTGCACATATATTTTAAGTTCTTACTTTGATTTTTAATTGTACTGAATTTGTGTGCTGTTCGCATTAACTTTAAACTTGTACAGAAGCAGGTGTGAGCCAAAACTGTGCACGGAGGGATAAAAAATCATATAGAGATCTAGGAGAAATTTATGTGTTTCTGTATTAATTCCAAGATTGACGATTACATTGATATCTAAGTTATTAATATTGATTTAGTATTTTGTTGTATGGACATTTTGGGTCTTGCATTGATTTTTGTTTTTCGTAATGAATTTGTGTACTATTTGCATTAAAATTAAAAGTGAAAGAAAAATACTTGTCAGTCTTCTACTTCCTTCTACAGAAGGTCATCTATTGGATTTCTCCGTATATACTCTTTCTCAAATTAATCCAAACCTTTAGAATTTATCCACCTGAGGGAATTAAAGAGTCCAGACTAAACTTTGAGTCACAAAACAGAATTGAAAGCTGTGGAGGAGCTAGGAACTTCCGCAAGGAGGGTCCAAAGAATATTAAACATGATAACTGTTGACATATTAGTAATATATAAGGACTTATTTGTAAGTTGTGTTTTGTAGGGGCCTATATAAGCCCAAGAAACTTCATAATACGTCAGACCTAGAGTTTGGCATGGGTTCCCTCGATTCAGTCCTCAAACTGATGACAGGAAGAGTATATATCTCACATCGATGAGATATATAACTGTTTTTGGTTCTTGTTTCCTCTGTGAAACGAGAATTTGTTTGCGATCCTACTCTTGTTGTGTAGCAGAGGTGCTGCCGAAATTTTCACTGCACACAACAAGGGTCGGAAGAGTAGGTGACCAGGTGTTGGGTCTGAAGCCTGTTCGATGGAGGAGATCATCAAGAAGTTGAACCCTGCGGAGGTGTCAACTTTGATGAAGCTAATGAAGTTGTCGGCTGGTGAGAGCGCGACAAAACCATCGAAGAAGTTGGAGCTTCCGACCATCGATCTGAAGCTGGATGGACCTAGTACGTACCTGAGCTGGTCACGACGGGTGAGATATACCCTTGCAGGGAGGAATCTGGAGGGTTATCTGACAGGAGAGGTGACAGAGCCGGAGGAGGACTCAGAGGGAAGAGATGAGTGGAAGTCCACTCATATGTTGGTGTACATCTGGCTTCTCAACTCGTTGGTCCCGACGATCGCCGCCACGGTGGATGGCATTGAGAAGGTGAAGGACGTCTGGGAGAAGTTGAGGAGGACCTATGATGGAGTAGGGAATAACCTGCGGGTGTTCCAGATTAAGGGAGAAATCGACGCCACAGTCCAGGGAGAGCGGACTGTACAGGAGTATGCCACCGAGCTGGAGCGTCTGTGGCTAGATTATGATCACTTCTCACCTCGGGCGAGCTGTAAGGACCCGGGATGTAAAGAGCGGGAGGCCTTCCTATAGGAGAGGACTATGGTATTTCTCAAGGGATTGACATCAGAGTTCGTTCAGCGAATTGCATTGCTGCTCGCTCATCCGAAGATTCCCACGCTTGAGGAGACTGTCTCTGCTATGATCCAGGAGGAGACTCGTATTAGGCTGCAGGCGGGGACAGGTGGACTTCCTGTGGTGAAGTCAGCACTGGCAGCCTCTAGCAACACTGGATCTAGGGGAGAGACTAGACAGTGCTACAACTGTGGTGCGGTGGGTCATCTAAGGCACGCTTGCACCAAACCATCCAAGGAAGGAGATTCGGGTGGACGTGGACAGTTCGGAGGTCGTGGTCGTGACCGTGGGGGTCGATGAGGTAGAAGAGGAGCAGGGAACCGGGCGAATCTGATGTTAGCAGAGGAAGAAGAAGCTGAGGTGGTCTTTACTGAGGAGGATCGTGCTCTCCTGGCGATACTCAGGAGGAAGCAGCAAGTAGCAGGGGATGGAGACTTGAGGAGTGGGACTGAGGAGGCATCCACTTCGTTCTTCGCTAGAGGCAACACTGCTATCCATGCTCATCCGACCAAAGGTACTGATGACATACATGCTCTTGCTTCTATGTCTCCCGACAGATCATCAGAATAAATAGTCGACTCCGGTGCGTCTCGACATGTGACAGGTAATGCTAGTGAGTTCTCATCATATACTCACTTAGCATCGCCTGATAGTATTCAAACAGCTGATGGTACATTTCAGCCGGTGGTTGGTAAGGGTACAGTCGATTGTACTGGTTCTGTAACTTTGTCCAATGTTTTGCATGCTCCTTCCTTTCCAGTCAATCTTTTATCCATTTGTTCTATCATCCTCCAACTAAAATGCATTGTTTTTTTTGATACTCCCAAGGTGATTTTCCAGGAGAAGGGGGCAGGGCGGAGACTTGGTACTGGCACATGGCGTAGTGGACTGTGGTATCTGGATCGTGAAGGGCTGGATTCAGCATTGGTGTCAGTCATAGAGGAAGCAGGAGTAGGATCTAAAATGAGTACTGAGAGTGAGTTAATGCTTCATCATCAGCGTTTGGGACACTCACCCTTTAGTGTTTTAGGTAGATTGTATCCTTCTTTATTTGAGAAAGCAAATAAACAGAAACTTGTGTGTGATGCATGTGAGTTTGGAAAGCTTACTAGAAGCTCTTATGTTAGTTCTGGTCATAGAAGTTCTCATGCATTTGACTTGGTACATTCAGATGTTTGGGGGCCTTGTTCTACATGTTCTATGAATGGATACAAGTATTTTGTTACATTTATTGATTGTTTCTCTCGTGTTACTTGGTTATACCTGATGAAGAATAAGAGTGAAGTGTTTGGGTGCTTCCAAAACTTTCATAGGAATGTTCAGACTCAATACGGAGCAGTGGTGAATGTATTGAGGTCGGATAATGGGACAGAGTATACCAACAGAGCGTTTGAAGAATATTTGTCAGCTCAGGGAATACATCACCAGACAACCTGTCCATATACACCAGCTCAGAATGGGGTAGCGGAAAGGAAGAACAGACATCTTTTAGAGGTTGCTAGAAGCATGATGATCTCTATGAATGTCCCAGAAACATTGTGGGGGCAAGCAGTATTGACTGCAGTAGCGCTGATCAACAGAATGCCCTCGAGAGTGCTGGATTGGAAGTCTCCGTGTGAGACATTGAAGGGAGATAATGGTGGGATTCTTCTACTTAAAGTGTTTGGCTGTGTGTTCTTTGTGAAGGACAACAGGCCATCTGTCAGGAAGCTTGCCCCTAGAGCTGTGAAGTGCATCTTTGTGGGATATTCTGCTACTCAGAAGGGATATGTTTGCTGGAGCCCGGTGGAGAAAAGGTTATTTGTGAGCATGGATGTGCACTTTTGAGAACTCAAGCCATATTACACCCGGAAGGTAACTTCATCCGTTGGTAACTCGCCCAATACTAGAAGTATGAGG